TGGAAAAATGAGGGTCTGGAAAGAGAAGCTAAGGTCGCAGGCAGACCTGTTCCAGAACATTCCATTGGAAGGAGAGGGGAATGGAAGAACAGGAGGCGAGCATGAGGTGGGCGGGGTGGCTGCTGTCACGTAAGGTAACATGATCACTGAGGAAGAGGCGCTGAAGTTACAGGAGGAGACTGCAGCACAGAGACCGTGCAAAGAGCAGTGTTTACAAAGTGCGACAGCTAATTTCTTGCCTCGTCTTTAAACTGCCACATAAATTTTAGTGGTCAGGCCGGTTCAAAGCCAAGGGAGAGGACAAAGCTAGAAGCCAGCCTTCTCTGCAGATTGTGGGGGTGTCGATCCCTCGCTCTTACCCAAATTGGTGAAGGACTCCAGGAAGCATTTCGGCCAGCTGATCCATGGAGGGGTACATGTACCTGAGGAAGACGCAGAGAGCAGTTGGGGAGAGCCCGGATGCTGGCAGAAAGGGGTGATCCAAACGGGGACGTGCTTGAGGGGCACAGGCCACGCAACAGCCCGCCTCGTGCACCCAGGCTCCCTGTCTGGTCCTGTCTCCCTCTCCTTCTGAGGTCCCCATGGCACACCCTAACTGTGAACTGCTTCCTATGCGCCAGGTCCCACGTAAGCATTTATGAGCATTTTCAGCTCACTGAACCCTTACGATAGTTCTACAATTTTCCCCAATATCAAGATTACAAATATCATTGAGGCTGAGCGATAAGCCACTTGGCCTCATGAGACCAATGGGCGGTGAGCCGGAAACAGCCGTCCTCTCTGTGTGTGTTTGGCTTCTGGTCTGGGATGTCACAGGACTGGGGACAACACTGACTAGTAGGCATTTCACAATTCCAACCTCAGGGAGGAGGAATTAAAGCAGGCATGAGAGAATAACGTCGACAAAGTATAATGACTGATCCTCACACATGCCAGGGTCTTGGTGAGGCATCGGAGAGAGGCGGGGAGCAAAGCAGATGCTGCCAGCACAGGAGCCGGCTGTGAGTGCACAGAGACGAGGGAGTGTGACTTACAAGGAAGGCTACGAGGGAGGGCAGAGTGCTTGAGGGGAGACGGAAACAGGGAGACCTGAGTGAGCGAGTGGTCAGGGAAGTCTTCTCGGAAGAAGTGGCATTGAAGGGGTCATGGAAGCCCGATGAGGGAAGAGTGCGGGACACATATTCTAGGCAGGGAACCGCACGTACAAAAGCCCCGGAGAGAGCCTATATGGTGTGGCTCCGCATACGTGCAGCCATTGAGCTGAGAGGGCCCTAGGGGAGAACAGTGGCAAAGGCACTAAGCCCCTCTGGAGTGGCCGTGCAGCCCCCACAGCATGACACCGGAGAAGCCACGTAGCTTCAGGGGCTCTGCTTGCTCCCTGCTCCCCAAGGCTGGGTGCACAGTCAGAAGACAACTGCATTCCGCTCATAAGGCCCCTCCCGTGTGGGAAGCAGACTCAGAGCCAGGAGGAGCCCAGCCAGGGGGTCAGCATGGAGGGGGCTCACCCTCAGAGGGCCTGGCCTACCCCCAAACCCGGAACCCCACCCCACCCTTTACAAAAGGCATAAATAAGCCAGTTCCTGTTTGGACAGCAGCTCCCACTAGCCGAATCACCCAGCAAACCTGGGGACACCACCCGGCACTTTGCCTCCAGATCAACTGAACACAGATTCCTGGGGGTGGGGTCCAGGCCTCAGAATATTTTTAAAACTTCTCCAGGGAGAGCCAAGAGCTTCTGCTTTATGCCAAATCTTTCAAACAGTTGGTCTAAGCAGACAGATTTACTGACACATCTCTGGCTTTATCTGCTGGTAAACGATTAACCATGTCCTACTGTTTCAATAAGCTTTTGATTTTTGGTCCCAGCCCCATGTGGCTAGGTGTCCCTTTTCTTGCTCTCCGATAAAGGTTAATTATTAAGGATAATTCTGAGTGCTAATCAAGAAAGCTATCTATTTGTAAATGCCAAGAAGGTCCCTCTTGGAAGACTTTAAACCCAAGAACATTCTCCTGCCCTAGTTTAATCACAGCATCAGGTACCTAGCGGGGAAGGGGGTGGGCGGAGGGCATCTCTGGGATCCGCCTGAGTGGTGCTGATTGGGGGTGGGGTCAGCAAGTCTGACCACAGCTACATGAGGAAACTGAAAGGCCATGCCCCACACCACTGCACGCTGAGAAGGGCCAGGGAGTATAAACACCTTCCAGTAAGGCGGCCTCATGTTCCAAAGAGAACATGAGTCTTAGAGTCGGTAGACTACGGTTAAAGCCCGACCTTCCCAATTCTCCGCTGTGTGACCTTGAGCTAAGTAGTTAAGGCCTCTATGTCTCAGTTTCTTCACCTGGAAAATGGAGCTAACAACGCCAGCCACACATAGCTAGCCATAAGGATTAAGTGAAAACTACTTTTTTTTTTTTTTTTTTTGAGACAGAGTCTCACTCTGTTGCCCTGGCTAGAGTGAGTGCCGCGGCGTCAGCCTAGCTCACAGCAACCTCAAACTCCTGGGCTCAAGCAATCCTACTGCCTCAGCCTCCCGAGTAGCTGGGACTACAGGCATGCGCCACCATGCCCGGCTAATTTTTTCTATATATTTCTAGTTGTGCAATTAATTTCTTTCTAATTTTTAGTAGAGACGGGGTCTCGCTCTTGCTCAGGCTGGTTTCGAACTCCTGAGCTCAAACAATCCGCCCGCCTCGGCCTCCCAGAGTGCTAGGATTACAGGCATGAGCCACCGCGCCCGGCCGAAAACTACTTTTAAAAATAAAAATGATTAACCCTGGCTCATAGGAAGTACTCCATCAATATCATCTCCCTCCCTCTCTTCTTCTTCCTGACTTTCTAGGTTTTTCTCCTCACTCTTTGGTCACATCAAGGTCCTCTCCCCCTTCAGTCTGGGTTGAGCACACCTGTTATAAAGCCAGCCTTGCAGGAAGGATGGGGGAACAGGAAGATAGCGTGTAATGGGCTCAGAGTCTCAGCTTGGGAAGATGAAGAAGTCCTGGAGATTGAGGGTGGTGATGGTTGCACAATCCTGTCTGCACGTACTTAATGCCACTGAACTGTATACTTAAAAATGCTACATTTTATGTCATATATATTTTATCACAATAAAAAATGGTTAAAATAATGAATTTTATATTTTACTGCAATAACACCCCCGCCTCTCCCAGGCTCCACCGCATGCTGAGAAGAACCAGGGAGTATAAACACCTTCCAGTAAGGAGGCCTCATGTTCCAAAGAGAACATGGGTCTTGGAGTCCTGGGGCAGAAGACCCCTTCTCTCACCCCATGGGGAAGGAGGCAGCGCCGTCCTGCTGGCCCGGGGCATCCACGTGGCAGACAGCAAAGTGCTGGGTGATCTCCTGCATGTCCTCGTAGTTGAAGAGAGGGTTGTAGCAGGTTTTGTCTGAAGAATGGGCAGGGGAGAGAGATGAGAAAAAAGGTGGGAAAAAATCAGCCGGCTCAGTGGTAAAGTACATTCGTTTTGTTAGTTTCAGTCCTATTCGGCAGGGAGAAATGAACTTAGAAGGAGGAATGCAGATCTTGTTTGTTTGTTTTACCATTCCGACTTTTCTCTGGTGATAAAAGGCAAGAATAAGTGACAGGGCAGGGGAGTGGTGTCTGGCAGATGAACCTTGAACTTGCAATTGGTGCTGGGTGGGGCTCCTGGTCTGGTTCCTGCTGCTTTCCTATCAGTGAGGGCTCTAATGGCCCCAGCATGAGGTGCAGTTGCTCCACCAATACTCTCTTTCTCTCTGGATCTGCTGAACTCTCACATCTGGGACACTGCCCAGGGTACACATAAGTTTCATACAAGGAGGAGCATGGTAGGTAAAGCATAGATCCTCCTCTCATGTGGCCTTGGAGGACTCTCCTAATTGCTAAGGGCCTGAGGCAAAGATGCCCAGCTGCTCACCCAACAAAATCTACTTTCCTCCTGGGCATGCAGCTGGACTACATTTCCCAGGCTCCCTTGCATTAAGAGGCGGCCATAAGATCAGCCTCTGGCCAATCACATGAGAGGCTCACTATTTTCTCACAACACCTGCGACCCAATCCTCTAAGTTTCTCTCTCATCTCCCATCTATTTGCCAGATGCTGCTTTGCTAGCAGAAGCCTCTGGGACCCTGGGGGATGGCAGAGCAACAAGCTAGAAAGAGCCTGGGTCCCTGAATTGCCACGTGGAATGTGTCCCACTGAACTGTTACAGGAGTGAGAAATAAACATATATTGTGTTAAGCCACAGAGGGCTTGAGGTCTTCTGTTACAGCAGTTAGCCTACTGGAACCAACAATGAGTCTCTCCAAATGGGGGAGTAACACCGCCATATGCAATCCCATTTCCTTGTCAGAGTCAATGAAATGAGATGATGGATATCCAAATACCTAGCACAGACCTGGTGCACAAAGGATACAAGGGAAACAGGGAAAGAAGCGAGATAAAAGAAAAGTAAGAATGAAGGGAAAAGGTGGTTTTAGGTGACTTAGACGATCCCCAACCTCAAGGTATTAATAAGCTTTATGGACAAAAAAGAAAATCAGGCTGTCCATCAATCAAAAATAAAGCAAGCATCTGGCTCACAATACTCAAGTTCATAAAGATTTCTGCACCAGGAAGGCCTGTAAGTGCCGTCTGAATCATCATGGAGAGAGTCACCTCTATTCCATGTCATTTTAATACTAAGTAGATCCTATTCCATTCCCAGCTATGAAAAATGGGGAACCTACATAAGGAAACCCTTCCTGGTCCTCGTAAGAATTCGCTGTCTAAACATTCATAACAGCGTTACTCATAATAGCCGAAAAGTGGAAACCACCCAAATGTCCGCTGACTAAAGAATGAATAAACAAAATGCAGTCCATCCATACAATGGAACATTATTCCGCAGTAAAGGAATGAAATACTGATTCATGCTACAACATGGATAAACCTTGAAAACATTGCGAAAGAAGCTAGTCACAAAAAAATTACATATTATTCTGTTTCTATAAAATTCCAGATTAGGCAAATTCATAGAGAAGAGAAGCAGATGAGGGGTTGGTCTCCAGCAGAGGGGGCTGTGTGGAAGATTGGGGGCTGTAGATAAAGGGTAAGGATTTCTTTATGGAGCCATGAAAATGTTCTTGAAGTGTGTTGACAGTTACACATTCTGTGAAAATACTAAAATCCGTTTGTACATATTAAAAGCCTCTATTACAGACAGACAGATAGTAGGGAGCTCCCTGTGTTCCCAGCACCTCCGGCACACAGACAACTCCATGCCCACACGCAGTGCATTTCTGGCTTTTCCAGGCTGCGTTAACAGTTCTTCCAAGAACAGCTCCAGGAAGCCCCAGAAAAAAAGAAACAGTCAGCTCCCAGCCACCAGCCCTCCCTGGCTGCCTTTTTGCTCTACTGTCTTGGGAATCAGCTGAGCAGAGAACCATGGCGCCTCAGAACTTACGGTTCATGCCGATGTCGTGGTACGTGAGGATGACAGGCCGGTTTCCCTTGGGGGTCCCACACAGTGTGACGTGAATGGAGCCGTGTAAAGTCTCGATGTCTTGCTCCTGGGGAAAGATAGCAGACAAAGGGCCTGTCATGTGGGGTTCACAGCGCCTATGTGGCTGTATTTACCGACGACAGACACCCAGCGTGTTTCCAATGGTGTTTTGAGGGAGTTCCCTTCCCACGTGGCCACCAGAGCCTTGGGTTTGGGGCAGCAGAGCTCTCTGTCCAGAAGGAGGGAGGGAAAGGGAAGCAGAGCTCCACCAGGAGGCAGAGGACAGAAGCCTGGTTCAGACGGTGCCGTTAACTGCACGGCACTCCGGGGAGGCCAGCCCCAGCAGCCTTCCCCACACAGGACTTCGCTTGCTCCATCTGGAAAATAGAGGCCGGCAGGCCTGAGCTTCCTGATCACCTGCTCCCACACCTCACCTCCCCCAGGTTACTGGACCTGGGAGGGACATCTGCTGGTTCGGGGCTACTGAGAACTCACTCCCTACCTCCAAGGACAGCCCCAGATTTCCTCTGGGAACCCACCCCTCTCACGGTCAGTCCTAGGAGGTCTGTTTCACAAGCCGAGGCCAATTCCTGACTTCCTCCTCCCAGTTGCAAGGACTAGTTCTGGGAAGGACACAGGAGTTGGCTCCTCCCAATGGGAGCCAACCACACTCACTTCCAGCTATTGGGGAACACAACTGGACTTGATTTAACAAGGCTGGGAGGGTTGGATCTGCAGCAGCCACACTGTTAATATGAGGCAATGGCCTGCCTGAAAATCTAGCCAGCCCATAGATGGAAAGGAGAGAAGGAAGGCCTGGGTAATGGGATGTTCCATTACATGGGCCAACAATTTCCCAACCCAGTAAGCCAAAGAATCTTAATTATACCATATCCATCCTCCCTTCTCAGGGGGGTAGGAGGCTCTCCTCCTGGTCAAGGCCAATTCTCCAGGCCATGTCCTCGAGCCGGCTCACTTGGCCAGTCATCCCCGCACCCCTCCACACTAAACCTCCCAAGGCTCCTTCCTGAGAGCTGAAGCCACGCTCATCTTTCTTTCTCCTAAAGTAGTCACCCTGCCTTGGTTCCACTCAGGGACCAATTTTTCACCTGCCAAGTTCATCTAAACTTCTCAAGAGGGTGGTCATGAGCCTTTCTCAATCATCACTCTACTGACCCTTTAACCCAGCCTACCCTGGGTTCCTGCGTTCCTCAGGGTCACCCAGAAGTTCCCAAGGACCAGAGTGACTTCCATGTCTGAGAGCAGTGACCTCCTCTGTGAAAGGTCCCCACTCCGGGCTCTCTTCCCACCAGGACTAGCAGGGGAGCAGAGCCCCCAGGCTGTGGAGGACAGGACACCGAGACTGTCCAGGTGCCAGGGGCAGTGCTGAGCCACGTCCTTCATCCCTGACAAGAGCCCTGCTAGGGCTGTGGGACCCACGCTGGCTCAGGAAAGTGAAGTCAGTGGCCCAGAGCTGCACAGGCAGGAAGCAGCCAAGGTGGATCCCCCAGACAGTCGGCCTCACCGCAGCCCCCACACTTCTCAGCACTTTGCCCACCGAGGGAGAGGCTCACACTCAGGCCTTGGGGGGCCACCTCCGGTCAGCAGGTGGCTTTTATTTTCCGAAGTGTCAATGAGGCATCGTAGTGGGATATGGAACACTCTGGATGCTGACAAACCTGCTTCCAGAAGCCAGCTGAAATGTGACTCACGTCAGTCACTGCCCTGCAGCCATTAGGCAGGAGAGAGGAAGGTCAGTGTTCACAACCTCACTCGTGAAGAAGAGGGGATGGGATAGACCACACACTTAGTAGCCCCCTCCCCAGCCCGCATCTGTGAAATGAGGACAAGCCTAGACCCCGCCTGCCTCCTGGGGATGCGGGAGACCCACAGGACTCAGCAGGTGGGCTGTGCCCACGAGTCCAGGGCTCTCGCCTGCGAGGGACCCCCGGCAGGTGATGTCTACATAGGCCGGGGATCAGATCCTACCTCTGCTACCTCTTATCTCAGAACATAAGCCAGTTCAATGCCATCCAACAAGCATTTATTAGGCATCTATTATATGCCAGGTCCCCTTAGTCCCTGGAGGGCTGAGGAGATAAGAACTCACAAGCTGGTGGAAAGTGGATTTAACCCCCCAGGGTTGGGAGCCGGACCAGGAGAAGCTCAGGGTGCCATGAGACCAGCGATTCTCAACCTGAGGAACTGGCTCACAAACAAAGTATAGCCCAGCTCTCTGGCTCTACCAGCAGAGCCTGAAAGCCCAGCGTTGTGTTTTACCGAGGACTCGCGCCTTCCCCATCCCAGGCAGAGATACAGGGGTTCCCAGTGCTCACTCTGAGACCCCTGAAGCCAGCAAAGCCCAGACCACCAACGTGCCTCTGTGGAAACCTCACAGGGACGGGGGTTGTTTGCAAGGTGACGGTCGTGGCATAAACGGTCACAGCACGGGCTCTCTAGCAGTGCCCAGGCCCACCCAGCAAGGGGTTCTCCTGGGCCACCTCCTGACCACCCCAATGACATTAGTCTCCAGAACACAGAGCTCAATACACCTCCCTGCCCCCTCTCTTCCCCTTAGGGCCCAACACTTCTTTCCTGCCCATAAAAAGGCTGGAAAAATCCATAGCAGAGGGAGCAATGCCCCAGTAGGGGCCAGGATCATCCGCTGGGCCTGCCTGGCCCTGGAGCCACTGTGGGGACAATGGCCCATTGTGGGGGCACATTCTTCATTGTCTCCCAGCTGACCCACATGGCTCCCTCTAAAAATAGGCCAGGACAGGCAGTGTCCCCACCGCCTGTGGACCTCAGGGCTTAAATGCAAGCCCCACCCTTCCCGAGCCCTCTGAGACTCCATGTCTCACCTCTGAGACAGGAAAGAGCTTCCTCCACCCGCTCCTTAGGAGGAGATGAGCCACCGAGCAGAGGCCGGAGCACAGCACCAAACAATGCATGCAGCAGAGGGTTCTAATGTGGTGGCAACCACGGGACACCCAGCCCCGCCTGGCACCAAGAATGTCCCTGGCAACTCCTGAGGGTGGGAAGGGGTAAGAGGTGTTGACTCATCTCTCTGGAAGCCTTAAGATTACACATCTATGGAACCGGAACTACATTTGAGGGTCCACCCCTCAATTCAGGAAGAAGAGGCCACCTGGGTCTTGTTCACTGTGGTGCTCACTGTCTGGATGAAAGATCTGATAAGATCTGAGCCTGGACGAACAAAGACAAGTGTTAGTCCCTAGGAAGGAACATTCTCTACTCTGTCTTCCCCCGGGACTAGTGAGAGCCTCACAGAGCACCGGTGCTTCACCCCCATGAGGGCTACACAAGCGTGATTAACACGGCCCTGCCTCAGCGCTGCCCAGTCCCTCAGCCTGGGCAGGTCTCGGAGAAGAGGCGTTCGACATCGGTAGCCTTATCGGGAAGGTGAAGACCCAGCCTCAGAAAGTGGCAGTGACGTGGTGAGGGGCACACAGGTGTGGGGCTGCCAGCTAGTCGTAGGTGAGCACAGATGGGGGAGAAGATTTGCTAAGCTAAGCGCCCACCAAGAGTCAGGCAGGGAAGCCCACCAATCCCCTTTCACAGGTGAAGAAACTGAGGTGACTTCCCCCAGGTCACAGCTTGTAGTGGTAGAACCAGGATTAGAGCCCTCATCTGCTGGGGGTCTGTGGGACCCTTCCACCCTCCTCTCAGTTCTGGTAAGCCCACGCAGGAAGGAGAAGGAAAAGCACGTGTCATGATCTTCCCCCCATGCCCAAGTCCCATCCCCTGAGTCTCTCTCTCTCCCTCTCTCTCTCTCCCTCTCTCTCTCTCTCTCACACACACACACACACACACACACACACACACACACACACACACGTGCATGTCCCTCTAAGCCAGCTCTGGTGCTCTTTCTCCATTGGGCAAAACCGAGAAGACTGTGTCTGAGATTGAATGGGAGAATTAAAACACAAACACATGCCTTTGTCCTCGTCAGTCCCTAAAGAACATTCTGTCTTTCTGTCCCCGTGGGGATGAATCACCCAGTGTTCTGGAGACAGGAGCCCGTCCCGTGTCCCCCACATTTTCCCAAAGAGAGGGTGCAAGGAACCCAGAACCGCGTGTGCACTGTCCATCCTCTTGCCTGAGGGAAGAAAGTCCTGTCTCAGGGCTCATCCTGGGCATCCCCTCTGGCTGTCACGGTGGCTGGGGACACACACACGCCCCTCCACCACGAAGAACCCAGGCTCGGCTCTCCCATAGCCAGAACCAGACCACAGGGGACCTTGCTCGCGGGGGTCTGACTCAGCCAGGGGGGGTGCAAGAGAGAAACATCCAGGCTGCACATATCTTTCTCTCTGGACGAGTCTAGAAAGACACTCTCTCAAGGTTCAGAGGTGACAGCAGCGATGGGGACAGTAATAATCGTATCAGCCACCGCCTCTTACTCCAGGCCTTCCCTGATCATCACATGTGTTTTCTTGTCGAGTCCCCACAACAACCCAATTGGGTAACAACATCCACATTGTACAGATGAGAAAACTGAGGCCGAGAGAGGTGAAGTACTTTGCCCAAGGTCACAGAGCTGGGACAGTGCAGCAGGATGTGAACCAACTTTGGATTTGGACGGTCCAAGCCCAAAGCCTGCTCTCTATAATGTCCCTGTTTCACACTGTGTGCCAGGAGGAGGAGTTAAGGAAACCTTTCTATGCGACGTGCACTGACACTCCCTATGGCACATGCAGTAAATCGGGTCCCCACATTTATTTGACTGCAGATGAGTTTTTATCTCCCAGCATCTCCGAGGTCTAGCAATCCACGCAGCACATCGTGGGTTATGGTAACATACAGAACAGAGAAATAATAACCTGCTCTGCCCATTCTCCTAAAACGTGCATCTGCCCTCAAACTGCAGGCATGTGTGTCTTTGTGTGTCAGGCTTGGAAGGGCCTCAGCACAAACCTCACCTTCTCGGGGAGGCCCTTTCTGCCACTATACATGACACACGGTCCCGTGTTCCCTTCTTTAAGGTAGCACCGACCACAGTTCCAAATAACTGTGTAGCAGCTGCCTCCCCAACCAGACTGC